TGGTGAAGAATCTGCCTGCCAATGCAGGGGACAGGGATTCGGTACCTGATCTGGGAAGATCCCACATGTCACAGGGCAACTAAGCCCATGTGCCCAGCTATCGAAGCCTGAGCACCAGAGCCTGTGCTGCACAAGAGGCGCCTTCACATCGCAGCGGGGGAGTAGCTCCCAGTCAGTGCACGAAGCAACGAGGACCCAGAGCAGCTGAAACTAACTAAATCTTTTAAAACAACAGCAGACTCAGAATCAGAATTCCAGGTCTGTTTCTCACCAGTTGTACAACGGTGGGTCAGTTACGTAACCTCTTAGTTCCTCAGTTCACTTCTCTGTGAAACAGGAATGAAACCCAAACCTCGTAGGGCTGCGAGGGTTAAACGTGGTAACTCTGAGCACTACATCTGATGCTTGTTAAACAGACTCCTGACTCCTAACCCGGGCCTGCTGAGCCCGGATCTCCAGGGCAGGGTGCTTGGGACCAGTAACTTTAATGAATAGCCAGGTGATTCTTAAATTGAGCAAGTTTTGCAAACTCAGATAGAATCCGTGTAAAGCCCTTGGCCTTGTCTGCGCTCCTTCCACAAAGGTCAGCCACAGGTTTATTAGCAGCTGGGTCTAGCTATTTGCAGATGGTACATAATGGCCTTCCTGATAAAGTTACCCAGGATGATTAATTAGCAGACACCCTAACCTATAATAAAACTTTAGACGATATGGCTCTGTATCTACAAATAAAAATTAAGTGAACTACACATTTAAGATTCGTGTACAGCACTGTTTATAAATAATACCTTAAGAGAAGGTCTTCAAAAGAAATTTTAAAAAGACACGACTCCCCTTCTTCGGAAAAATAATGCTACTAGACAGGCTATGTGCCTGAACGCTCATATACCAAGTGCACGGAGCCACAGGTGCGTGCACGGGACACACAAGAAGTAAATGAAAGACTCGCTCGATGGACTACAGCATGAGGTCGGGGAGCAGCTCTCCTTCCCAGAGGAAGCGCTGGGTGACTTCCGTAGTGAGAGGACCGGGGTTTCCCTGGGCGTCTGCCACGCCTGGCCTCCCACCTCAGAGCGGAACGGAGTGGGGCCCTGTGGTCCGTGCCCCCACCCACGTCCGCTGCCTGCCTCTTGTGTGTGGAAAACTCTAGTCAAAGGATGGGTTTAATCAGAAAAGTGACAAATGAGAAAATAACGGAAAACAGTCCCAGAGACTGAATACGAACAATCTAGTCATGAGGCATGGTCAAGGGCCTTCAGTTCTTTCTCGAGGGCTGCAGATAATATTCTGAGATATATCCTGCGAACGGTCTTATCGATACTAGAACACCAGGTGGGAGAAGTTAGCTACACGATGACCAGACATTACCCAGGACACGAGCTGCCACTGTTCTGAGAACTGGCCCCAGAGAAATGAGAATGAATGGCCCCAGAACTGAGGATGAACTGTCCTCAAACCACCAAGACGATGCCTGTCAGCCCACTGAGGGCCTATCTGCAGAGCGGTCAGAGCTGCCAGCGCGGTTTCTGCAGGCCCCCACCCAGTCTGTCTGTGAGAGCGCTCACAGCTTGTCAGGGGAGGACTGGGCCTTTGCACAGACATCCACCCCCACCCCCAGCGCCGGCCCCTGAAATAAAGCAAACTTTCCACCAACCTGGCCTGTTTATTGGGTTTTGAGTGACAAGCGGCCGGACCCACCACACACCCTCCAGTATCAGGAGGACTGGCCTGCCGCGCAGGGCCCGTGTCCGCCTTCAGGGCAGGAGTGTGCTCCCAGCCTGCGGCTGCGAAGGAGCTGCGTCTCCGCTGTGATTACACGGGGACGGAGGGCTCGTCTCCCTCGCTGCTTGTTGCCCAGAAGTCTTTTTCTAGACACACGTACACGGTCCAGGAAGTTAGCCAGGACCAATGCAGGCAAATGTGGGAGCTGATGCGCAAGTGAAAGTTCAGTTAAAAGCCCGTTTCCCTAAAGTGCATCCCCCGCTGGGCTGGGCAGTCAGCAGCTTTTGACCCAGGGCATGAACAGAGCGGGCTGGGAAGGAGGGAGGTGCAGTGACCACTGGGGTAAGCCCTGCTGAGGGAGAGAAAGCGAGGATTGGAGTCCAGCTCCTCCGTTTCCAGGCAGGGCTGCAGCAAGGAGAGACTGCCACTGCAGCCTCCACACCTCAGCGGCCTCCACACCTCAGCTGCCTCCCGGGCTTCCAGCTGGAGGTCAGGGGCACAATTACGGGCCTGATTTTATCATTGCTCGCAGGGTTAATACACACACATCAGGATGAGCTCGCGGGGCTAATACACACACATCAGGATGAGCTGTTCTGCAGTTCAGAGGTCAGTAATCTGGGACGGGGTGGCGAGATGGGAAGACAGGCATCCCCAGCTTGTCTCCTTTATATTTAGATGGCAGACCCTGATTTTTTTCCTTCTTTTTAAGGCCTTTATTGAACTTGTTACAATATTGCTCCCATATTATGTTTTGGTTTCTTGGCCGTGAGGCAGGTGGGGTCTTAGCTCCCCAACCAGGGATCCAATCCGCACCCCCTGCAGTGGAAGGCGAAGTCTTAACCGCTGAACCCCCAGGGAAGCCCCTGGACGCTGGTCTTTTTAAATGTTGCATCTTCTGTTCCAAATGAGCACAGTTTGCATGGAATGGGAACTCCATCTTCTGTCTCCACATTGGACACAGGCTTATAGCTTTAGGTTCTTTGTGTGTTTTGCTCATAGTGCAGACCTGACATCTGTATGGCTGGTGAGTCTCTGATCGGTGCTTTTGGTGCCCACCAACAGCTACCCAGCTGCCAATTACTCTGTCTGTGTGCCCGTCCCTCCTTCAGGGGACTTTGTTTTTGTAATTCAAAACTTCAGCTTCATTTGCTGAAGCTCCAATACTCTGGCCACCTGATGTGAAGAGCTGACTCATTGGAAAAGACCCTGATGCTAGGAAAGATCGAGGGCAGGAGGAGAAGGAGATGACAGGGGATGAGATGGTTGGATGGCATCACTGACTCAATGGATGTGAATTTGAGCAAGCTCTGGGAGGTAGTGATGGACGGGGAGACTGCTGCAGTCCATGGGGTCACAAAGAGCCACAGGTACCCAACTTGTGCTGACACCCTGAAGGGTCTGGGGGATGAAACCCCCCCAGGTAGCCTAAGCTTTTGACAGACGGCTTGGGACAAATTCCGAGGGAGTCATGTATGCTCCAGGGCGCTGCTGTCCAACAGAATGTTCTGTGATGGTGGAACTGTTCTAGATCCGTGCCATGCAAAACGGCGGCCACCAGCCCCAGCTACTGAATCCTTGACATGTGGCCAGTGCAGTCAAGGAACTGAATGTTTAAAATCCTGAATCAATAAGTACACACACACAGGAATGAAACAGCAGCCTCCACTAATGCTCAGAATGCTCAGAAACTGAGAGACAAATGCTATGTGTCAAGGTAAGTTTTATTTTCAAGTTGCCTGAAAAGTACCTAGAAACTTTACCTTCTTTAAACTTTTGTTCCTGAAAACCGTTCCAAGAGGCATGAGTCCAATACATCTTCTTAGTAACTGGGAGACAGTGACTGTGGTCTAATCTTTCTGTGGTTTCAATTACAGGAATGTCTTAGAACCTGAACACCAGTGGATGAAGAGTGTGGATATTAACTGTGGGAAGTGACAGGGATTGGGCTGAATTTGAACGAAGCCCAAGGAACAGCCCTAATCTTTGCAGGAACATCCTAGGATACTTGTATTCTGATTATTGGGGTTTCATTGAAACATGAATAGTATTTTAGTAGTTATCCTGCCAAGATTTTTGAGGCTGAAGGACAAAAAAATTAAATTACTGTTTCATTTCATTGTATTGACTTGATGAATGTCTAAGTGGTCTAGGCCTGGTCCCCAGCCCCTGGAGGCTTCCCCTGTTCACCTCTGAGGCCAACAATGGGTTCTCTCAGGATGCCCTTGCTGTTCCCCATCGCCGACCATGATGTAAGTAGGAGAGAGTTCAGGGAGCTTCAGCTCTGGTCACTGTTGTCGTTTTTATTTTTGTGGTACTTCTGCTCTGCTACTGGGTCTTGTTCTCTTCTTGCACCTGAGCCTTGAATATAACCTGTTTGGCATCTCAATCCACTCAGATAGGAGAAGTCATCTCGACTGTATCTCTGACCCAGAACAGATGCTCCCAAACCTCAGTCCACTACGCTCTGTCCGTCGGACCAAACTCCTTTCAGAGCCTGCCCCACATTGTTCAATAATTCATTCTATGGACGTTTAAGGGCCCCAAGTTGCCAGCAACTATGTCAGCAGGGGCCACAAACATTATGGACACAGAGCTTCTAGGTAGAGAAGGAGACGTAGCAGGAGCAGTGAAAAGTAAACCCATTATCAGAAGCATACACAGAAAGCCGGCCGCAGGAGCCAGGTCTGAAAGCAAGTCTGTTCTGATGTGCTTTGGAGCTCAGGATACGGGACTTCAGAGAAGGGACTGAAGCACACGGTGAGCTAGGATAAAGTCACATGAACAACAACAGTGCACCGAAGCTGCTGACCACAGACCCCAGCAGCCCCACTTCCAGGGGAAGCACCCCAGCTGCAGAAGGACTTGCTACGGGGTCTCCTGCTGACTGAGCTTCAAAAGCACAGTGGGACTTTCCCACATGACATTCTTTATGCCACCAAGTGAAGACCCTTACTTGATTCTACCTGAACTTCAAGAGTAGACACACGTGTGGAGTTCATCTCAAAGTGGATGGGATGGAGACCCAGGAAGGTGACTAGGCTGGGACCATGTCACTGGTGTCACTGTTTCCCATTAGGAAGAAATGGCTTTGTATTGCCTGTATATCGCCAGAAATGATATTAATCTAAGTGGCTAAAAATGTGAGCCTACATTCTGGAGGAACTCTCAGCTCCTGCTGCAAGAGGAAGCAGTAATATCACATGTTGAAATAATTATCATTGATTAAAAGATTCAAACAGCAGAGTCCTCACACCCAGACACAAGACCATGGCTACCTGGTGGCAAGAAGTGGACACGTGTGAACCGGGCTGAGCCAGGCCTCCTTTCTCCGTGGCACGCTGTCGTAAATGAGCAGGTCCTTCTCAGTCAGCACAACCAGGGCTGGCTTCCACTGCTTCTCACTGTCCCCGGGCACCTGGAACAGAAAGCGGAGGACCATCAGGCGCCAGCCTGAGACGAGGGAAACTGGGAAGGAGAAGCTGGCAGCTCCCGTCAGAAGGCCCCACGCACAAGTGTCTTTTGGTTCAGGCCAGTCCCCAGGTGGCTCGGTGAATCTGCCGCCAATGCACGAAGCACAGGAGATGCCAGTCCATCCCTGGGTCGAAAGACCCCCTGGAGGAGGAAACGGCAACCTGCTCCAGTATTCTCGCCTGGAGAATCCCAGGGACAGAGGAGCCTGGTGGCCCCAGTTCACAGAATCGCAAACAGTGGGACATGATGCGCGCACGTAAAATCAAAGTGAGAGTAAAGCGTTTATTGTTGCAGGATTCTGGATCCTTGAAAGTACGTTTCTCAAGGGCCCTGGTTTACAGTCAGTGCGCTGAGAAGTAGCCGGCAGCGGTGGCGTTTCCCACCCGCCAGTCAGCACAGACAGCTCTCCTCACGGCCTCCTCACGGCGGGGCGCACGTGCAGGGGAAGAAGCACGCCCAAGTGGCCCTCTGACAGAGTGCTCCGCTTTTACTATGAAATGGTAGGTCTTAAAACTTCTGAATCAATATCCAGAGACTCTGAAAATGTAGCGCAGAGGCAAACGTCTGTCTGCGCCTGCGTGAGACATCACAGCTCTTCCAAAAGCCGTTTGCTCTTTGATTGTTTCTGTGATTCAGGCACCATTTTGAAATTCTCTTGTTCTATTAAATGTTTATTTCCATTCATGGCAAATACTTCTTTAACTCAAGGGCTAGGATGACCTGGCAGGGATCCAAGAGGATTCAAACATCGGCGGGATGTTTGGACCAGGTGACCTTTAGGGGTCCTTTCAATCCTAAGATTGAACCTGTGTAGCTCAGATCTTATTTCATGGGTCATTCCTCCTCTGTCCAGTGTTGATTTGACCAAACTCCCTAAGTGTTCTTCCATCTATGAAAATGTCTTCCTTCCCATTTTAACTCTGGGCCCTGGAGTAAACCTTTCTGATCAGTTTGGAAAAGCTCAATACTCCAGCCTTGCTACTTAAAGCACGGACCATGTTCCAGCAGCATCGGCATCACCTGGACGCTTGCAGGAATGCAGAATCTCAGCTCATCCCAGACCTACTGAATCAGCATCTGCATCTTCACCAGGTCTTCAGGGGTTCATATGCTCATTAAAGATAAGCAACACTGCTCTAGATGAGGTTAAGGTTGTCTCTGACTCTGGCAACTAATCCAGTGAGGATTCAACTCTCTCTTAATGAACCACTATTCCGCATCGACTCAGAATGAAAGGAAACAGTGAACCAAGTAAACAAACTAATCAGGAAGCTAAATAAATGATAAAGCTAATTTCCTCCTTTCCTGTTCTTACCATTATCTTTTCTTAAGTGTCTCAGTGAGATCTGTGCTGAGTGGAAGCAAGTGTGTGCGGCTTTAGAAACGACTGATCAGAAAAGGCGATCTGCAGGATACGAGGGCTGCAGCTTGCAGGCGGCCTGAACCTGAGACCCTGCTCCATTACTCATGCCTGTGTGACTCGGGGCAAATTGTTATTCTCTGTGCTTCTATTTCCCCCTGATAATGATAACATCAATATACATCAACAGTATATTCTGGAGCTAGAAGCCCTGGATATAAATCACAGCTCCACAGTGTGCTGCAAGATCCCACAAGATCAGGTGATACTGGGCAGGTCAGCGAATCTCTTTGTATCCCCGTTTCTCTATCTGTGAAATGGGGAAATAATAGGACCTATAGAGGGTGGGTGTGAAGATTGAGTTAAAATATCTGAAATGCAGAATAAACACCATTTAGAGCCTGTTTATGGACATGAGATCAAACCAGTCAATCCTAAAGGAGATCAGTCCTGGGTGTTCACTGGAGGGACTGATGTTGAAGCTGAAACTCCAATACTTTGGCCACCTGATGCGAAGAGCTGACTCATTGGAAAAGACCCTGATGCTGGGAAAGATTCAGGGCAGGAGGAGAAGGGGACGACAGAGGATGAGATGGCTGGATGGCATCACCAATTCAATGGACATGAGTTTGAGTAAACTCCGGGAGTTGGTGATGGACAGGGAGGCCTGGTGTTCTGCGGTCCATGGGGTCGCAATGAGTCGCACATGACTGAGTGACTGAATGACAGCTAAAGCCTGTTTAGCAGCACGGCTCTCATAAGGCTGGCGTGCAGATCAAATGAGACAGTGCGTGTTATGTGCCGCACATGGTACCTGGCAGATGCTAAAACAAGGTGAGAAAATTGTGGAAGACTCACGGATGTTTAAACTTTTCAAAAAAAGGTATTCTTTGGAAATGGCAACAATATGACAAAGTACTGACTTTCCTTGGGAAAAATGATAAGGCAAGCCAAGAATATCTTCGGTGCTGACAATTTCAATTCATCCTCCTCCCAGGAAGAATTCATTGCACAATGATCACTTTTCTCTTTCAGTGCCCTTCTTCCAACAATTTCAAATAAGAATTTCCTTTTTAGAATGAAGAAATGCCCTGTAAAGTTATTAATACTAGAATATAAATGACTGCCTGGCTTATTTTCTCCTTTACACATTTTATGCATACAAAAAAATTGAGCTCTAGCTTATTGCTTTTTCCAGCAGAACAACAGCATCTTCAAGAGATTAAAATGAATTGACAGAGAAAGCAAAGTACCAGACCATACAAGGTGAATAAGCTATGGTCTCAAGGCATAAAGTGTTTGGGGGTTGGAATAAGTTTTTTCCAGCCTCTACATTAACCATGAAATTAAAACATACTTGCTCCTTGGAAGAAAAGCTATGACAAGCCAGACAGCATATTATAAAGAAGAGACATCACTTTGCTGATAGAGGTTCGTATAATCAAAGCCATTGTTCTTCTATTAATCATGTACAGTGAGACGTGAGAGTTGGACCATAAAGAAGGCTGAGCACCGAAGAATTGATGCTTTTGAACTGTGGTGTTGGAGAAGACTCTTGAGAGTCCCTTGGACTGCAAGGAGATCCAACCAGTCCATCCTATAGGAGATCAGTCCTGAATGTTCATTGCAAGGACTGAGGCTGAAGCTGAAGCTCCAATACTTTGGCCACCTGATGTGAACAGTTGACTCACTGGAAAAGACCCTGATGCTGGGAAAGACTGAAGGCAGGAGGAGAAGGGGGTGACAGAGGATGAAATATTTGGACGGCACCACTGACTCAATGGACATGAGTTTGAGCAGACTCTTGAGAGACAGTGAAGGACAGGGAAGCTTGGCGTGCTGCAGTCTACGGGGGCACAAAGAGTCAGACACAACTGAGCGACTGAACAACAACATTAAACTTAGTAAATTGCTTTTCCAGCTCATTACACAGGACTGGAGAAGCTATAAACAATCCTCCCAAAGTGCCTATCTTACCTAGTCAGATCTGATCCATTGACTTTGTCTGGAACCAGTCTTCTCAACGTGAACACAACTAAGAATCCTTCTTCAAAAACAATATGAAGTTTGCAAAATAAACATCAACAGTAAATGCCCTCAGTAACATGCAGATCTTTCTAATTGTGGAATCATAAACTAGCCCACGTGTCCAGTGGTATATACAGGTATGAAAAATTCCAAAGCCCTAAAACAGTTTGTGACTTATTAAAAACCTCTGCTGATAGGTTAACTCTGCTACTAGAAAACTCACAGAGGGCGACCCCACCAACTCTGTGTGCAGAAGGTTCAGTCTGATACTACGTGCATGCTCAAAGGTAACAGAAGTCTGCCCATGAGGACCATTGACTTTATAAGGAGAGAAAATTCATGTTGAAGAGCAGATTTTTAAAACCATACTTTGGGTCACATGAGCTCATATTGTAAAGTCTTTCAAGGACACTTTTATTCAGGCTTGAATATTTAGGCTGTTGTTTGGTGCTACCTTCTATTACAAATGCAAATTTCCTGGCATCCAAAGATTCTTCTATGTTAATGCAACAGTTCTGAGGTTGTTTCTGCATTTTACTGAAACGTGACTCCTGAAACAGATGTGACAACTTCCACTCCAATCCCGGCTTCCTGCCATCAGATCTGCATCGACCAGAGTCTCAAGAACTGTTCATGTTTCTAATGAAGAAGGTGAAAGGAAAAAAACAGGGAAACAGACCTTCAATTCTGAAACACAACTGAGCTAAACCCCATGAAGAGTCATCCCACAGTCATCTCTGCAGAGCAGGAGAGACAAGGTTTACAAAACGGCAAGAAGAATCTAAGAGTAGAAACAAGTCATCGCTAAGCATTGAGGGAACAGGGACTTTCCTGGTGGTCCAGTGGTTAAGGATCTGCTTTGCAATGCAGGGGACGTGGGTTCGATCCCTGATGGGGATACTAAGATCCCAGGAGCCGTGGAGCAACTACGCCCCTGCACCCGACCGGAGAGCCGCCGTGCTAACCGCCGGGTCTGGGCACTTGAGGGCCTGCGAGCCACACAGACTGCACCCGCACAGCACAACCAGAGTCCACGCATTGCAGGGGCTCCTGGGTACAGCGACTAAGACCTGACGCAACCAAATAAACATTACAAAAAACTAAAAAAGGTGAGGGAACACGCAGATATAAATGTATGACGTCAACAAGCTGCACACTTGGAACTCTACACAATATTCTGTGTCAATTATATCTCAATTTTAAAGGAGATATTGAAGGCAGGAGTCATTGAATCCTCAGCTTGAGACAGGACTCATAAGTCATCTAGTCATAAAACAAAACGTGCAACAATCTAAAGAGAGTGTATATAGGGCTGCAGCCTGGCTGGGGTCCCAGATTTTATGCCTTTATCTTCTGACAACTCACACCTCTGAGCAGCGTTCCTAACAAACACCGAAATACAGTTTGAAAACTGCTGACTTCATTTCCTCTAAAATATTTGAAATCTGCAGATTATTTTCAAAGAGATGGTTTTTCCAAAATCTTTCTGTGCCCTTTCTGTAGGTATTTCAAAGAGAAGAATGATACTGTTGCCTCTTAGAGTTATACAGATAAAA